ACTTCAGAATTATTATTTTTTATGTATAGCATAGTTATTTTATAGTTTTATAATCCTCCTTCACCTCCAAGTTCTGTGCATTTAGGCTTATAATACTAAGGAAACCCACCTTAACAGGTGCAGGAAGGTTAAAAAAAAAGTCTTCCTGATGGAGCTGTTTAAAACATTGAATTTTCATCTTGTGAAAAATTTCAGTACACCAGCACCTGTTTTTTTCCTGAATCAGTACAGTGACATGCTAACAACCATCCTAGGCAAGGGCTTGGAAATGCACTCCTTCACTATTAGAACTGGAGTCAAGCAAGGATGTGCAATTGCACCAACACTCTTTTCCATCTATTGCAGGTATTCTACACTTATTGCTCATAGGCTTCCATCTGGAGTCAGCATCCGGTATCACGTGAACAGGAATCTCTTTAACATCAACCAGCTATATTTCATATCCCCAGTAATCAATACCTTCACTACTGATCTTCAAGATACTAACAACTGTCATGTGTGCCCACTCAACTGAAGAGCTCTAGGTCACTCTTGACTGCTTCTGTGAAGCATAAGCAATGCTTCAAATTACTGTCATCTTACAAAAACCAAAGTCCTTTACCAACCCACCCCAAACCAAACACTTATTCCTCCACACATTACAAGTAGAGGGCAGTCCTCGGAGCCACCTTTCCCAAAATGTAAGTATAGATGACAATATTCAACACCAGATAAAATCTGCCAGTGCTGCCTTTGGACATCTCCAAAACCATGTCTTCAATGATTATGACATCAAGACACAAACAAAACTTCTCATCTACCAGGCTGTTGTTATTCCTACCCTGTTGTATGGGTGTCAAACTTGGTTGACATCAAAAACCCCAGAAAGCTTTGGAATATTACCATCAGCAATGTCTTTGGAAAGTCCTCCATTTCTCCTGGAAGGACAGAAGAATGAATGTCAGTGCCCTGGCTCAAGCAAATACCACCAGCATTGATGCCATGTCTATACAAACCAGCTCCATTGGACAATAGGTGTCATAGGGATGCCTGGCAACTGGCTCTCAAAATAAGTCCTTTATCCCCAACTCACTGATGGTCACTACTCTAGAGGTGGAAAAAAGAAGAGATTCAAATAAACCTTGAAGGCCAATCTGAAGAAATGCAATATTAATGCTAAAACCTGGAAGACTCAATCACTGACTCATCCAAAAGGACACTGTGATGTATAAAAAGGCATTGACGATTTTGAGCAAACTTGCCTCTATGGAGGCAGATAGACAAGCGAGAAAAAGGGAAACAGATGTGATCAAACAACACAAGGATCTACCCCTTTCTTCCATAATTATTTGCCACGTCTGCATTTCAGCATGTGAAACTTGGATCCACCTCTTCAGTCCTCTATGAACTTACTGATGACCACATTTAGTGGAAGACTGTCATCCTCATGCCAAGAGACTGCTGATGACAATGACCAAAAATATTAAAATAATGACATGTTTGCAAAGTAAAATGTTCCAAACATTTCAAACAAGAAAAGATTAAGGGTAAATGTTTCAACATTTTGAAATGAAATATCTAAATGAAATGTCAAGTAGAACCAAAAATACATTTTTTTACCTTAGTATGATATTATAACAGCTTGTGAAGTTGAAATGACAAAAGTGAACTACTGAAGCTTACACATCTACATGTCAGAAAGCAAAATTTTTTTTTCAAAATGCTATTGCAGAAAAATATTTTTTTCATCAAAATCAACAATTTTACCCAGAGTCTTCACTTCCAGCTGAATTGCATTTTTCACAGAAAATAATTTATAATCAAACTTTTCAGGTAGCTCTACTTCCCAATAAAAATGCTAAGCTCCTTTAAGAAAGATTTCTTTGGTAATAGCTTTAACAGGACCACATATATAGTTAGGAGAGATACTAGTGAATTTTTTAGGAACCAAATACCCTTCCTCAGGTCTGGGAAAGAAACAGGTACACTCTCAGCAGATACTAGGTATACAAATCAAAAACCCCATGAACTACCCACCCCTGGTGATCATATACAATCCCACACAGGAACCCGCAAAAGGATCATTAAAAAATTACAACCTAAACATGGAAAGGATCACACCTTGAGAAAAATATGCCCAAACCCACAATTCCTGGTTTTCAAACCACCCCTCAACTTTGCCAAATTCATCATCGGAAGTATACACTTCACTAATCAACAAAACCGAGCAGAAAAAGGCCCTGCCTAAATCATAAATGCAGAACCTATTAACATATCTCTACCATCACCACAATCAATACATTCCACAATAAAATGCTCAGAATCTATGCAACATACGCATGCCCATCCCAAAATCTGATATCTCATCAATGCACCAAATGTACCCATGAAAAGTATGTAAGTGAAACTAAACAATCACTATGCTTAAGAATGAACTCTCAAAGAAAAATGATAAATGGCAGAAACAAATAACTACAAGTGGGAGAACACTTTTCACAGAATAAGCACCTCATCCTTGACCTCAGAGTCCTTATTCTCAAGGAACATTTATGCAATAACTTCAGAAGATGGGCCTGTGAACAAAAATTTATAACTTTACTGGGTGCTAAAAACCATGGACTTAACACAACGGTTTTTTGGCTCATTACAATCTACTCCTACTAACCTCTCTGTACCCCATAGGTAATAGCAAGACTCTTCCCTTTAAAATGGTCCTATACGTTTACATAATTAGGTTTCTCTATTTCAACTGCTCTTTACCTGGCCTGTAATTACCTTTGCTCCTCAGGTTTACTGCCTCCTTCCTTTTTTTAAATGGAAGTAAAAGCTCAGCTTCAGCTGTATCTGCTTCTTTCCCGGACCTAGGAATGGCTTTCTGGCCAAAAGATTGTCTAACATATATCAGACCTATATAGCTGGTTAAGTAAAATATATTACCCAAAATCCTGTTTATCATATATTCCGGGATGATCGTGCCTACAACAGCACTGCAGAGCTCCTAACAAGTAGGAACCTACCTAAATTGCAGCAGAAGTATAGGTCCTTTAATCCAGCTCTTTTCACCACATGCCCAGTTCCCCTTCTACCCCTGATTGGTGGAGGGGCCTGGCAGTCCCTCTCCCTCCCCACTTGCTGTTGATTGGCCAGGGGGCAAAAACTGCAATTTTAAATATGCTGCGGTTTTTGCCTCCTCCTACTGATTGGTCAAGGGGCCCTGGCAGCCCTGCCACTTGCTGCTGAGTACCCAAGAGCCAAACCCATGGCATATTTAAAACCACATTTTTTGCCTCCCAGCCAATCAGCGGCAAGCGGTGGGGCCACCAGGGACCCTCAGCCAATCAGGAGCAGGGCACACAGGGGGGGACAGAGGAGGGCAGTGAAAAAAAAAATTAAAGGAGCCACTACGCAGTGCACTTCCACCACGATTTAGATAGGTCCCTATCTATAAGGCATTTCTAAAACAGTTTATCTGATTAACGTGTCATTTACAGCTCCTGGCTTTCTGTGGCCAAAAGTGTGTCTAACATACATCCTACCATCAGTGGTTCTCAATCAGGGATACTGACACATTAAAAAAAGTGGTGAAAGGGCGCCCTGACTTTGAAAAGGTTGAGAACCACTGCTGCACACTGCTATAAAGGTGACTATTCATTCCCTCATCTATCCTTATGCAGAGTTCATGGAGCTGCTACATCCCCTGGCCTATCCAAGAGCGATGTCCTGTTAAGAAGTTTGAGTCCTGCACATTCTCAGTGAGAGAAGGTTCTGAAGGTTCAAAAACCAGTGAACTTTCTACCTCTAAGGAGGGTAGGGTTGCCAACTCTGATTGAAGCTATTCCAGGAGATTTTTTTTTCCAACATGACATAATGTCATTAATTGTACTGGGAAAGAAATTCACAATCAATTGACACTGTTATGTTTTAACAACGAATGAACTTCTGTATGAATTACATGCATACATTATATTAATTTATTTTCTTAAAATATCCCATTAAAATCTCCCGGACTGCTTTCAGTAGTCACTGGGAGATCAATGCCAATTCCTGTAGACTCACAGCCAATCCAGGAGGGCTGGCAACCCTAAAGGAGGGATTGACCTAATTCCATATATTAAGCAGGCGCAGTGAAGACCTGGTAACAGAAATGTTGATGCCAAAAAGGTGACCACCATCTCCTGAGGCAAAGTGGACAATGACTGGTCTGAAGTGTGAAGAATGGTAAGTTTGTTTCAATGCGCTGATTGACAGATGCACCAGCTGGATAAGCGGTTGAGTGACATGTGCCCTAGAGATATGATTGGACTGTGAATGTGGTATCATTTTGACATTTAAAAGAGCCTGAGTTCCACTCTGGGGAGGGGGGTGGTGTCTAGGGGTTCGAGTAAGTGTGATTTGTGTGTTTTTGGTTTTGGGTGTGTTCATGTGTGACTCAAGGAGGAGTCTAGTGAGTTTGACACTGCAAGATTAAGGGTGTTTTGTGAGTGTTTAGTATCTGTAGAGCGATTAGAGTTGTGTGTATCCTGTGTAGAGCAAGGCTCCCTGGTGATCACTTTGGGATTCGACCAGAGACCAGGACCGGTGGGCCATTACTCATATGGTAACCTATTACCCATTCCTTCGATAAAGGGAGGAGTTTGCTCTTTCCATTGTACATAATCTTTGCAATTATTGCTGTTGTCTGTTAATATTAATACATTCTTGTGGTTACCAGTTAACTGAGGAGTCTATTTGTACTAACCATTACGGTGGGATAGCACTGGGTTATAAGCAAACACCCGACTTAAGAGTTGCCCACTACCTTAAAAATCCTTTTCCTGTACTGAATTCTGAGAGGAGTAATGCCCTCATTTGCTTAATTAAGCGTTCGGTGTTCAACACCTAGACCTTCTAGATCCAATTTGTCAGAACCCTGCATTCTTCAGAACACACTTTACAACAGTATGTAATAAAAATGGACTGCTTTCCTAATTTCCAACTTTTTTTTAAAAAGGTGTGCTGCTGTAAAATAGATGCATTCATACCTTATCCAGGAAGAGTCTGGATATCTGTGATACCGCTAGATGGCCAAACAGAAGCCACAGTATACATCCCTTTCCCCATTCCATCCAGAAACTCCATTCAAAGTCTGTGGGATCCTAGAACATAAAGTGAATTGATGAATATATATATTTGCACTTAGAAAAAAGGAAAATGACTGAATAAAATACAAATGTCTATAACATCACATAAAATTATAAGAAAGAAACATTTTGGTAAAGCAACAGGATTTGATTTTCAGAGATGATGAATGACATCAACTCCAGCTAACTTCAATTTTTATATAAAACAAAGGAACTATTTCTATTGGATAGTATTTGTAAAACCAAAACTTGGAAACTAATTTAACTTGACAGTAATTCTTTAATCTCCCTACCAAAGTCTTTAGAAATTTCAAACTATAAAAATGATATGCACACACAAATCATCTCAGCATAGGGATATTTAGTAGGGCTGTCTGAAATTTCACCGGGTGTTTCGTTTCAACACTGTTTCAACTCATTTTAAACTCAAAACAGTGAAAGCAAAATTAAACAAAAGCCTCAAAACGAAACGAGGCCAGTCAAAACATTTCTAAAGTTTCTAAATGCTTCAAGTTTCGAAGCTGCGCTTGCTTGCAGGGAAACAGAAAGTAGAGAGAGGGAGGGGGAAGAGGGGGGAAGGAGTTCTCTGATAGTGACTGTGTAGCTGGCCAGTGACTGTGATCCTTCCCTGAGGTCCCTTCCAATCCTAGTGCTCTGGGGGAAGGATGGAAAAACAGCATAAAAAGCAGCATTGTTTGAACTGAGCTGCTTTCTGCCTTGGGGTCAGTTACTGAGCTGTGTCTTCCAGCAGCTCAGCAGCATCAGACAAAGGCTATCATTCATTTCCTACTTGCTACTCTGTTCCTAGCAAATGGGATGCAATACCTTTTGCTTTCTATAACCTTTTATTTTATTATTATATTCATTCATTTCTTTCAATTTATTCCTCCTGCAAAATCCTTTTTTGGTTTTTTTAATCTATTTTGATTCTTTTCCCCCCCAAAAAAGAAATCTTTGCTTTTTCTCAGTGTGCATTCCATTCACTGTGCAGGGAAGTACAGCATATATTGCATAGTATAATATAGAATTTATTCAGGAACACATACTACATACATTTATATCTTTTATTTATTACATAAAGACATACATACATACATTACATTACATAAATGCACATACATACAATTCTCTTATCTACATATATTACATAAATCAGATTACATTACAGAAGAACACACAGATTTTCCAGCACACCAAGGCAAAGACACTATGAAACACACCATGAAGCATGCTGGAAAGGCAGCTGGCAAGCCTTCAAGGAGGGGCAGAAGATGGGGTAGAGGGAGAGGTGTAGTAAGTCCATCCCCTGCCCCCCCACCCCAAAACTGAGAGACAGACTCTTTCCTACAACAAGCAAGCATGAGGCTTCCAGTTCTACAGGCAGCAAGGAGAGGGGAGCAGTGCCACTGCCTGTGCCTGAGTCTGCATCCCCTCCAAAGCACCAGCCATAACCCCACCACCGTGACAACAAGCAGCAGCACCAGCATGACAGTCTCCTCCACCCCCATTTCACTTCCCATGCTGAACCTTCCAGTGTCAGAGGAAGAGCTGAAGCTGGAGCTAGATTTGACTGCCATAGCAAGGGAAATTCTGGGGAAGGAGGGTAAATCATCTGAGTTTGTGCTCCACACCCCTCAAGTTTCCCCTACATCTTAGAGGGGGACAGGGCTGCCAGTGATGGCGCCAGCACCACCAGCAAGCTCATTACCAAATGCCGGAAGGTGGCAGGCTACTTCCACTAGAGCATCAACAGGGGCAAGATGCAGAGCTGAACATCCCACAGCATAAAATCATGCAGGATGCAGAGACTCGATGGAACTCCACCTACCTGATGCTCAAGAGGCTAGTGGAGCAACAGAATGCCATCCATGATATGGCCTTGCTCAGGGAGATTGGGATCAGCGGCCCCCTTAACAGAACTGTTCTTAAGAGAACAGATGAGTGGGATACCATCTCCCTGATCTTGGTAGTCTTCAAGCCCTTCCTCGAGGCCACCGAGCACCTCAGCACTGGCAATGCCCTCCTTAGCCAGGTGATCCCTGTAGTGAAGGAACTTCAGAACCAAATGGAGAAGTTCCAGGGGATCAATGTTCCTAGCTGGGGCAAGCGGCTGTCACCAGACATGCAGGCACTGGTGAGGCTGCTGAGGGAGGGCATCAGGAAACGTCTTGATCCCTTGCGGTCCAGTACAGTCCACATGCTGGCCACCATGTGACCCAAGGGTGAAGAAGATCATCAGCATATGCGGCAGCACCAGACATGCAGGCACTGGTGAGGCTGCTGAGGGAGGGCATCAGGAAACGTCTTGATCCCTTGCGGTCCAGTACAGTCCACATGCTGGCCACCATGTGACCCAAGGGTGAAGAAGATCATCAGCATATGCGGCAGCAAAATCCTGGATCAGTGGACGGAGGTGCTGGTGAAGAGAGTCAGAGAGGCAGAAGGACAGAGGGGGGGAACATGGAAGAGGGGGATCCACTGTCCCATGCCAGTATGCTATCCACCAGCCAGTCTACTCCTCCACCACAGGTGCTGCCAGTGTGGGCCAAGGGCATGGCTTTCATGGTGGGATCCAGAGGCACCAGACCCCACCATCAGGCAGGTAGGGCTCAGGCCTTGGTGGCTGCCTATTTCGTTGAGGACATGGAGCCACTGCTGTGCAACCCCTTGGCCTACTGGGCAACCCACAGCCAGATGTGGCTGAATCTTGCCATGGTTGCCCAGGAATACCTGTCCTGCCCACTGACCAGTGTTCCAAGCGAGAGGGTGCTCAGCACTGCTGGTGATGTAGTGACCAGCACCTCCTTGGATCCTGGTTTGGTGAAGCAGCTGGTGTTCCTCAAGGTGAACCTCCCACTGCTGGAGTTCCCCAAGCTCCAGGTGCAGACGGACTGAGTGCCACCCTCCTCACACCGTTCGTGCCTATTTCCTTTTTTTCATTTTTTTTTAAAACCATTTAATGCCCCACTCTCAGAGCTAGAGGCGGCACTCGCTGCATCACTAGCCAACAGGGGAAAAACATGTCCCTGCTGAGCTACTATGCCAGGATGAACTTGGAGATATGGATTGGGGGTATGGGAAAGGAGGAGGCCCCAGGTCCTGGGCATGATCACTAAAACTGTTCTCTGCCAGGGTCAGGAGGCCTGGTGGGACTGCCAGAAGCACAGCAGCCCCAGGAAATGCCAGGACCGAGGATCTCCCTCAGGTTGAAAGACGGGTAGGAGGTGCCATAACCTCCAGCCACCACATGCATGCACACAGTCCTGGATGGGGAAAGGCAGGTTGGAGGCACCATAACATCCAGCCACCACACATGCACACAGTCCTGGCTGGGGAAAGCCCAGACTTGTCATGGGACCAAGGATCTCCCTCAGGTAGAAAGGTAGATAGGAAGTGCCATAACGCCAGGACCAAGGATCTCCCTCAGATAGAAAGGTGGGTAAGAGGTGCCATAACCTCCAGCCACCATGTGCATACACACAGTCCTGCCTGGGGAAAGCCCAGACCTGTCACATCTTTGACAGGCTTGAGGCTTGCTGGTTGCAGTGGAGTTTTGAGGCTCCAGGTAAGCTCAGCTGAGCTGCCTGGGATGCCAGCTTTTGGGTTGAAAAACCCTTTGTCAAGCTGAGGAAGCACCTGCAGTTGGTGTGTGTGCTGTTCCTGGATGGAAGGAATAGTAAAGAAGCCAGAGGCTGGCATGCAACGAAGGCAAGAAAACCAGTCAGTGAAAATGGAAATGGAGGTGTCAGGTTGTGAGGCACAGGGCTGGGGTGGGGGGAGAAGGGTGATGTAGCAGCACAGGTGAAAGTGGATAGGTACCTGGGGAGTCAGATGTCCAACATGTTGTAATGTGTCAGAATTCCAACTTCTATATTGAGTCCATGAGTTTCTGTACCTAGGAGGCTGATGAAGTGCAGTTCATAGGCTCATCTGTGAAAAGCAGTTTTCCTTAGTGGGCACAAGGATGGCAGTCATCAGAATACTGAAGGTGAAGGATTATTGTTTTGAGTACTTTGGTCTTTGAGCAAAAGTGACCCAGATTGAAGAGCCCTCCATCCACTCAGTACTCAATGTCAATTCCAGAAGGAAAGCAGTCCTTAATGAGAACCAGGATGACTGTCAAATAAATGAAGAACAGAGTTGAGGCAATGATGCATCCTTGCTTGACCCCAGTTTGGATGACAAATGCATCTGTCTCTGATCCACTACATAGAATGGTCAGTCATCTGGTCATGAAAGTGTCTCAAGACCTTGATGTACTTTTCAGGACATAAAAGCTGGCTAGTACTTTCCACAAGGCTTCACAATTGATAGAATCAAAGGCCTTAATAAAGTCAGTGAAGGTCATATATATGTCCTGATGTTGTTCCCAACACTCTTCTTGGACCTGGCAGGCAATAAAGATAATGTCAAATGCCCACAGAATGGTATGAAACCACACTGAGATATTGACAGGACTTTCTCAGTAAGAGGTAAAAGATTGCTCAGCTCAGGAGGATGTGGGAGAGGATTCTCCCTGTTGTGGAAAGAAGGGCAATACTTTGATAGTTCAAAGAGACTTATCTCCTGTCTTGAAGATAGTCATAATGCTGGCATTCCTCAGGTCCCCAGGGATCTCTGTGTTGTTCCACATTTGAAAAATAAATTAATGGACTCTCAGTACCAGTTCCTTGCCACAAGCCCTGCAGATTTCAGCAGATATACCATCCGGTCCAGTAGCCTTGTTGTTCTTTGTTTCCTTGATGGCACACCATACTTCTTCCAGGATAGGAGAGTTTGTGAGGGATCCCCTATCAGGGGGATGGGGGATAGACTCAATGATGGTATCTGTCATAACCCAAAGGTATGATTTTGTGTGTGCTTCGGCACTAGAATTATCCCCGCCAAATTACAGCTTCATTGCACGGTAGAGTTTTCTGCTGCAGAGGAGAACCCCGGTGCAAGGAAGAGTTTCCCGCCTATTTGCAGCTTCCTTTGCAGAGTGCATTGCTCAAGTTGCAAGAGAAATGCACAGT